TAGTAATTACCAATAATAATATTAATAATAATAATAATAGCCAATATAATAATAATAATAATTACTGCTACTAATAATAATGATTATTATTTCCACTAACGGGGTGGTTTCGGCGCCAGAGGTGTGGGTTGACAAGGTGAGAGTGTCCATCGCTCAAACGTGGCACTTTGTACCTCTCAGTCACCAGCTATGGACTTACAGGTGAATTCAACTTTACTTCCTCTGTTAGACGTATCTTAGTCTACGAAATACCCCTCACATTAAAGGGAAACTTTAGACGACGTTTCGCTACGTTGTGGAACAATATCGAATCACCAGAGTACAAGAAAAAATAGAAACAGGTTGGTGGGAAAGCTGGAAAACAGGTCAGTTAACGAAAAACCATTAAATAGGCTAAGAGTAATAGTATTAGTAATAATTGTAGTAGTTCTAGGAGTAATACTACTATGTAATGAGGAAAGCAATTGCAAGTGGTGGGATGGAATAGTTTCATAGTTATTTTGTGATTTATGTGTGATTTTTTTCTCCCAGAGTACTGCGACCTTCAAACAGACATGTAAACAGAGAAAACACTTTGCTACTTTTGATGATGTGTTTCTGTTTATCGACATTCCATTAAAACGGTAATAGGCATCTGCATTAATATTTCTCTAAGAAGTTTAGTTAAGGGTCTAAACTCGAAAGATTATTAAAATTACTTCGGTCAGAAGTTGCACATTCTTACCTCTAATAATAGAGTTTGTATATGCAAATGGACAATCTGTTAAAACGGCATCTTCTACTTTTCTCTGCACTGGATCGAAGAAGCTACTGGCTGGCGAAACGTTTCCAGAATAAAGATACCAAAATATTGCACGAATGTCGCATTTATCAACTTGTCAGTTTTTCGTGGTCACTTAAGTTTAAGAATAAAAGGGCTGAATACCGTGACTGGAACAATAGACACATAACCCACACATAGGAGAACGAAACTTGTGACGATGTTTTGGTTAGACTTGGACCTGTAACTAGTTATAAGAACTATATGAAATGTTCTAAATTACCAGTTACCCCCAAAATAAAATTGAAATGCATTTTCGTGAACCCAATAACATTTGGTAGTCACGCAAGCTTGAAAAATCCTGTGTGTTTGAGCATGTATGAGCTGCATGTTCTAATTGTAATATTAGACGTATCAGGGGCTTTTTCCGGAATTTTATAATTAGAAATTGTGAAGATAAGAGGCTTTAATATCAGAATATTAAAACTCTAGTAAAACCACTTTTTTCATCTATGAGGAATCCTTCTGAATCCAATAATCACAAAAAAAAAACAGGATTTTAATATTATAGCTAGGTTACAGAACAAGTTTGATTTAAGAATTCTTCAGCGCTTATAAATAAGGCATCTTAAACCTGAACTTAAAATATCTTAACTTGTTCACCTTGAAATAGTTGTAGTTTCTTTGCTTTGTCTCGTTCTCTATTACGCTGTTCATTATTGTTTTCGTTGGCTAGTGAACGCCCTTTTGGAAAAAATCTAAGAAATGTTCTCATGAGAATATGTTTTCTTTGATTTTTGTTATATTTTACAGTATTTTGTTAATATGGATTTTTTCTTTTTAGATTTAATATTATAACATTGTTGTCTGCTTCTGGAAAGTAAATTCTGATGATGGTGATTGAAGAATATATCTTTCGTATGTTGCTTGAAGTATATATACCTGTTTTGAGGGCTCTTCTACCCCTGGCATGGCCTGGCTTCCCTGTTGACAGTTTGACCAACCAGGCTGTCTGTGCTAGTGTCCTACAGGCCAGCTATCAAAACTCTTAAACACTTACATCTTCGTGTAGGCAATGTTTCTGATATTTGCTGGTAATATGTTGAAGAGTTTTGAGCAGCTAACGTTGACACAATTACATGACTGTACTCATTACTTCCCTGTTCTTCAATGGAATTATTCCATACTTTCTTCCATATGTTTCACTCCCGTAAGTTATTATTACAATTTACAAGGTATGCAACGCCACAAGTATCTAGCGAAATACATTGCCTCTACACAGACCGTCAAAGATATCCAAACTATCAGATTAAACCTGATTTCCTCCCACTTCCCAAACGACATATGACTCTTGCGGATGCTTTGCCATGTATATAATAATATTGCCCGTGAAAGCCTACTATTCACAAAGTGATAATCTATTACAACACTTTTTGTTAACCCTCAAGATAAGAGATCTTTACAAGTTGGTCGTGTGAAGTTTTGTCAGCTGTGGATATTTAGGAACTATGCTTCATTTATTCTTCAGGAACGTTATCTTTTTCACATTAAATAAATATTTTTTCAGATGGTACCATCTGTGCTTCGTTCATAACCAGCTCACCTCCCTGATTCAGACGTTCCTAGACGGAGTACAGGTGAAGGAGAGATACTACAACATTAGTCGGTCGGCATATGGTGACCAGGTGATGCTGGGCAACGGAAGGGCCTCTGAGGAAAGCTTCAGTGGAGACATCACCCAGGTGCTAACCAGGCCAGACGCCCTGTGAATCAACATTCTCTCGCATAATACATAGCAACTGACGAAAATTAATAATACGTTTTATAATATTTGTAATTAAATTATTGATGCATGTTTGTAGGTCAACGTATGGGATAAAGTTCTAAGCAAGGAAGATATCCAGAAGATGGCAACCTGTCAAATTGATCCTAAGGGAAACTTCATCTCGTGGGAGGCTGGATGGACGCTCTACAATGTATCTTCTTACGACATGTCCCTGGAAAAATTTTGCCAGCGTGAAGAAGCTAATATATACTTTTGGTTTCCTAATACGACGGACGACACTGCTCAGTACCTGTGTGAGGCTCTGGGCACCCACCTGCCTAATGTTACCAGCTTAGATGATGCTGAATTTTACTACAAATTATTGGAGACCATGTGGCCGGATAGTAACCATTGTCCCGTCTACATCTGGAGCCCTCTCAATGACAAGAAGGAAGAGAATGTGTGGGTAGCTTCTTATGATAAAAATTACATTGATAATTCCTCCTACTGGGGCCCTGACGAGCCTAATGGTTACAGATATGAAAACTGTGCAGCGATACAGCGAGAGGGCCTTATTGATGATGACTGCGCCTGGAAGAGATGCTCACTTTGTACATTTACTGAACCCCAGAGATTTTCCTTACTCGGCAGTTGTGAACCAGAACTCCGTAATGTTTACTTTGTGGCATATCAGGAGGAATATGGTGGCTTGATCTTCAGGAGCTACGGATCGAATCACATTAAGAAAGTGAATGGAACTTGGATATACATCAATGCAGTGCAAAACTACACCATAGCTAAAATGGAACCATTTGATCCTGACTTTCCAATGGGTCGTAGATGGTGGCAGCTGGAGAGAGAAGTGTGTGGCCAGGAAAGTGGTGGTCGACGTCGCATGCTGCTCACACCTTGTCGCTCTGATCATTATACATGTGACGACGGCACCTGCATCCCTCACCACTACCGGTGTGACCTTAAATATGACTGTAGAGATCGAAGTGACGAGCTGGATTGTGAACTCATCTTGTTCCCCCAAGACTACCATCAGAACTTGCCTCCGAGGGTGCCAGGGAAGGAAGACTCGAAGCTCCCTGTTATTATAAACGTTGTTATAAAATCTATAGACGTCCAAACAGTGCAAATGTCCATGAAATTATCTTATGAAATAGAGATGATTTGGTTTGATAACAGGCTTCAATATTATAATCTTAAATCAAATGCCAGTCTGAACAGCCCACGTCTAGACACAATGATGAAGTTGTGGTCCCCACTGGTGAAACTACTCAATACAGACACCATCGATCAAGCACTGTTGGCCATAGACGCCAACACTCTCATTGAAAGACGAACTGCAGCGTTGGGCAGGGACGAAGGTGCAGCGGGTGAAGGTTAGGCATCATTTAAAACACAAAGTATTTACTTTAAAGACAGATTAATTGAAATTCATTCTTCTTCAAATAGTTGCAAGCAAATTTTTAATTATCATCGTGCTGTTCACTTGCATCACACTCTAAATATATACTACATCCTGTACATTGTTTCCACAGTGGACATGTACTCAGGAGAAGACAATCCTTTATCAGTGAGCAGGAAATACAGTACAGTCTACGCCTGCCAGTTCGACCTCACACTCTACCCTTTTGACAACCAGTATTGTGACATCCACCTTCAGATTGTGTCTGGCCAAGTGTCCTTCCTCGACGTCCACTCAAACTCCTCTGTTGACTACTTGGGAAGCGAAGTGCTCAACGAATATAAGGTTAGCATCTACCTTCCTTTTTATTGCTAATTTCTCTAAAACATATTAAGCTTCATGGTGTTCCGTGCTAAATATAAGTCACCTTTTATGGGAGCATTAGTTTTGGATTGCTAACCTACGAGGTGTGTCAGAAGCAGTAACAACAGAGTGATCACCTCGCTCGAATGCTCAGTTTCTTTTCAGAAGTAGAATGATCTACGGCAACGGTGTATTAAAAGTGGAAAACAGAGTTAAGCAGCTGAATCTAACCCTGTGTACAAAATTACTAACAGCTATCGTACGAAAGTCTTGCTTTATACTTCACAAAAGACATGAACTAAAACCAGTATTATAGATGGGAGAGTGAACACAGTTTTGTTGTGCTCATTTAATATTACACGTTCATTTGTACTTTTTTTTTAATATTGATGTTAGGGTATACAACTGCATGTATATATGCCTAGCTACTTATCTATGCAACTTTGTAACTGTTATACGCATGTAACTAGTCCATTTACTGTACACTGCACAACACATGTTTCATTAATTTATAAGTTTGATATTTAACAACGATAAAAGTAGAAGACAAACAACTTCGTAACTGAGATATTATGTGAATAATATTCATGTAACGCTTACATGTATTTTTATATTACTTAAGTATTAATAATAAGGCTAGAGGAATGAACCCCTTGTATATATACCTGACTATGTAACAAAAAGATCCACAAAGCAAATAAGTCACAATAATTTTAATGGGTAATCCTATAATCATTTACAGATAAATTATTATTTAAAGACATTCGTAATAAAATAACTTGTGCATTGAATCTGAATAAAAACATAACTGGTAATAAAGTTATGTTAGGTGTGATTCATCAGGAAACAGGACAATTAATTGTTTCCTGACGCAGGTCATAGTCATATGATGACTCGCCACTGGAGCTTTTGGTTATCTGACCGAGGCCTTCCACTGGCTTACCTGTCTACCTCTTTAAAAAATGGTAATAACGTTGGAGTTCGTAATATTTTTATCAAGAAAGGTTATTTTATCTTGGCTTGCTTGGGCAAATAATGGAAATTAAAACTGAAATTATCTATTCACGAATATTTCGTTCGTAGGCATATTAATGTAAATACGAATTTAATCCATGGTATTTTTGTCAATCACAAAATTATACATTTTACTGTATGTTCGTTATTGCGTGCAAAAATTTGATGGCACAGATCTAATTGTTTAGGCCGAATATCCAACACATAATTCTAACCTTTATTGACTACAGATGCAAAATCCAGAGTTTGTGGCCCCTCGGCGTATGTCATGCAACAGACCGAAAGAAATATTAAATCTAGTTCAGTTACTCCTGCACATTGCCGTCTTAAAATCGTGTTTGCTCTATTTCTGTGGATTCAGCATTTTTTCTGAAAAGTAATGAAATATTATCGTTAGTGAAGTATTAGAAAATGTATGCCACTGTCAGAGTTGAATTAATAGGATATTTGTCAAAAATGTCACGCTTTGTTCAAAAGAAATGTTGAAAATAATGCGAAAGTTACAAAATTTTAGATTGAATTTTTGGCTCAGAAAAATCGCAAGCTAAAAAATAAATTGCCGCCGCTCTCACTGTTATTTAATAAGGCACTTTCATTATTAAATAACAGTGAGGCTCATTTAGCATGAATGTAGGTTTTTTCTCTGTCATATAAGGAGGAAAGTACCAAATTAACAAGGAAAGTACTTCACTGTAGGTCAGTTAACAAGGAAAATATCCCTAGTGACAGCCGTTTAATAAAGTGACCCTACTGTCGGTCATTTAACAAGAATCCCTCACAGCAAACATGAACATACAAAATGGCAAGGTTGGGGTACCTACAGCGGCATAGATGACTTACTCTTGATTCCTGCGTGATCCGATGTTTTTGAGGTCTGTGATGGTGTCAGGTAGCACCTCGCCTGCTGTCTCATGTAGAACCATGGAGGTCACACCCGCCATCAGTGACATCGACGAGAATATTACTGACGGCGCCCAAGGAACCAGAGGCCCCTAGTTTGGCAAGGAAAAAAAAAAATATATATATATATATATATATATATATATATATATATATATATATATATATATATATATATATATATATGCAAGACAAGCCACGGGGGGTGGAAATCTTTAGCTCAAGTACTTTCACACTTCTGAGTGCGTCAGCAGGAGCTATGCAATGTTGCAAGGCTGCAACTGAAAGAGTGAGGGGTAGTTTTCTCAGAATAGCGCAGTTGCATGCCCATGTATGTGTGTACGTAATTGCATGCTGGTGTACGTGTGTGTATGCGAAACTGACCAGGTAGGTGGTGATGTACGGCAGGATGACAGAAGCTAGTTGGGCGGAGACGGAGGCAGCTCCTAGGCCTTGGAGTCGGACTTCTGTAGGGAAGAGTTCTGAGCCGTAGACGTAGATGAGCTGGAAGGCTCCGCTGATACACACCTTGCCAGCCAGGGCTAGAGTCACCACCAGCCAAGACAAGCCTGGACCAACAACACAGTGTGTGAGACCAATTTCGTACGGAATGATGTCGTACTCATAGCTTGAAAAAGAAGAAAAATAAGTAGGAGGAGGACAAAAAGAAGACTTAGTTCGGGTTGGTAACCCACGAGTTTCAGTAATATAGGAAAGCCCAGCTCGGCTGCAACACCTGGAAATCATTATTAGAGAAACCTTTCGCCTGCGCAGCAGGCTTTTTTTTCTACAATATATTGACATGAGGATGGAGACATATACATATTATACCTTTAATGTAATATCTTGTTTGAGAAAGCAAAACCTAGGAATCTTTGTACAGAGGTTATCTTTCTTCAACTCTGTTGCCAATCTCTGAACCATCGCTAGAGTCTGACTTACTTCCACTAGTGGGATCCTGCCCATATATGATGATGTCTTCAACTGCTGCACCTCTGGTTCCAGTACATATGTCTCAATCCTTATCCCTCTGCATTATATTGAAAAAGGCCTGATGTGCAGGTGAAAAGTCCCTCCAGTTAAGATACCTATGTAACACATATGCTACTTATTCATTAACTTGTCGGTACTGCATAATAGCCAAGCATTGTGGCTTATTTGCAATGGTTTATTTTTTTGATCAGTTAGAACTGCCGAAATTCTAAATTATATTCATTAAGAATAATCATATAATCTCACCAGAAGGAATGAAGGTAAGTGTTAGGAGGAGGATGCTACAGATAA